CTGAAAAACAGTTATATGTTGAATGATTTTCTAAGAAAAACCCACATTTCTAAGAAATAGCTAACATCACTTAGAAATTATAATTAACATTGTAGGTTAATTGAATAACAATGTAAATAACTTCCCAATCCTGGTTTGCTGCAGCAAACTCTTGTTCGATGATATGTTTTTGATGCTCCTCATCTACTTATGACAGCGATTACTCAAAACAGGACAAATCCAAGCGATAATGGAAATACTTACTCGCTGAAAGTAATGAAAGAAATTATATTTGATTGTTCAAGAATAACATTCAGAAATTAGCCATCAGACAGTCGGAAAGAGTCAATGACCGCAAGGAAACAGAGAAAACCCGGCTTGATTTCAAGTAAAAACTATAGCCTTAAAATTCTTGGATTTTCAATAACAATTTCTGACTAAAACTTCGAGGCTAAAAATAACTCCAGCAAGAACAACAACACCAACAACAACAACAACAACAACAACAATATGACTGAAACTTTTTTTGACAAAATTGACTAAATTTGAGAACACTGGATTCAAAAGTTTTCTTTTCGCTAAAAAATCTACCAATTTTCGAAGAAAGAAATCGATTACGTTTTTCGTGACCTTAACACTTTTGCTGTTCGATAAAGGGGTTTGCCTTAATAGTGGGGTTTGCCATTTGACAAAGATAATTCAGCAAACTAAAAAGATAAAACCCAAACCAGAAAATTTCCCCTCGACATCATACAAGGCCATCAGTTGTAGTGTTATGAACTCCGCGGCACCAATATGGTCACCCAACGTCAGTGCTACAACGAAATGACGCGTTGAGAACCGTCACCGCTTGTGTAAGAAAGACAAATACAGACCACCTGCACAATGACACAAAAGTCCTCCCGGTGCGTGAGCACAACGAAATGTTCTCAAAATAGTTCCTACTTAGCAGCGAGTCGAGCGGATCAAGTAGCAGTGCGAGAACGCTCAAGTCAATTCTACAAACATTGTTTCATCGAGAAATCGTTCAACTGCTACAAATACAGCGCAAACAAACCATACAGATTTTAAAATCTTTATACTATAAAGTATTAAGTGAAAACAGACTCGATCTTGACGTCAGATGAAAACTTGCTCAGCTGCGATCAGGATAGTCGCGCCTGCTGAATAGTTACCGGAGTAGGTTTGACCTTAAAATCCCTTCATGTATGCGGAATCTTTAATCAAGGCCCTCATGATGTCAACTCATTATTTAACTGTCAAGGTAGACCGACAGAATAAGATGTCCCCCTAAATTTCGCTACATTTATTTAGCTTGCATAGCACGGTGGAGCGGGAGAGCTTAATTTACTTCAAGAAATAATTAGCATGTAGCGTGATGCTGCCTTCAAAACAGCACAGCAAAGCGAGAGACCCATTTAGACGAATTCCAGTGTCAAAACGACGTTCAAGTAACCCACAAATAAGGTATGCCCTAACAATCCCGTCGGGGCAGCGACACTGGACTACGGACGAGACAAAGCTACCACCGAACAAAACTTTATCTCCCCTGGAGAAGAAGAATTATCGAAAGAAACGAAACCCGCTTTAAAAAAAACGGGATCTTATTAACTGGATTTTGCAATAAGGGAGCCAATTCACTACAAGGTTTGAATTGAAATTACTGAGATAAAGCCAACAATTCGTAGTGTTAGGAACTGGGCAGCACCAAAATGATCACCCAATATGGTCACCCAACTTTTATTACAGAACCTGGACTTTAAAACGGACACACTGTCTTGTTTGGACAACAACGAACTATGCTCACTCAAAATCAAGCAACTTGGCTTAATCCTAGGATTTTTAAATGTGAAGCTAGCCAAAAACTGATGCTTTGGACAAAATATTTTCAAAATCACAGATGTTTTTTCCTGGAAAAAGCCAAAATACGAGGCCTTCACGCCATAAATTGAACACCTCAATTCGGAAAGGAAGCGTTTTCGCATTTACGAATATTACTTCACCAGTATGGTTGCATATTACGGCTGCATATTTTTTTTCTATGGAGCATTCAGACACCAAATATGAATGTGGGGTTGCAAACTGGGGTGAGCCGACCAGCACATATCAATGATTTAGCCAGTTCGAGAAAAATTTATGTCCAATATTTGCTTAAAAATCAAAACAATAAAACGGGCCAGATTTTTTGCATATATAACCAAATAAACACCGCAAACAAACCCCTCAAAATCCGATGGTTTTTTTTACATCGCGGACACAAGCTACATGCCCGCAACAAAGTATATAGAAATCGTTGAAAGACGAAACGCGGAATCATTACAATACAATTCGAATCACTACAATACAATTCTACAATTAATACAATGGTCAAAAAGGGATCATTGATATAATCAGAGGAGTAGAGAGACTACAGTCAGCTTGTAAAAAGTTAAAGAAAAAAAGTGAGGTTGCATCGCCATTACGAAAAAAAATGTCGAGGGACCGTTATGCTACAAACAAAAAATTCTTGGAGAATATTTGTACTCTTTTATTATTTTCTATCCATTTGAACTTTCAATTTTCCGAAAAGTGTTTTTTATAGGGGAACCAATTCAAAACAATGTACCATAGGGGAGCATAAACTTTAAAAGATTCAAAGAACAAACAAAGAACAAAAGACTCTAGGCTTAAACAATCAATTGACTGCCGCCATCAGTTAAAAACACTTGTACTCACTTGTTCTCGAGGGACTCCACGTGTTTTACTATGTCTTCTCCAAAGAGGTTGTTCGTTCCCCCTTCCCGCTGGGGCTTAACCACATACTTGTGGCAGTTTCCGATCACCTCTTCCACATTGCTGCAATTCAGCTCAAACTGATGCACGAAGGTGGACCTGAACAAACTTGATTATATAACTACTCAGCACTTTGAATAGTTAAGGTCATTTATCCACCTGCGAAGGACCGGCATACGAGCTCTTCGCGGAGCTATTGAGCTCTTCACCTGTCAGCCCTGATTAGGAATTACAGGCACTTCTGGTTCTTTTTCATATGCCAGCAGAAAAACGTAGAATTGAAAAACTGACAGTTATATTTTCACTAGAAAACTACACGCGATCTAAATAGAAGTTCATTTCATTATTGACATTAAACAGTGAAGGTGTCATGGTGATATTAACACGTTTACTCATATAAAAAAACAGCCAATTTTTGAATCAAAACTCTTCTCCCAGGACTTGACAAGGAACACCTTACCTGAACAAGTCATTCAAGGCGTTCTTCGGTTGCAACTTCCTCAGGAGTTCCCCGTCATTTTCATTCAGTGCACACTGAACCCTTTTGGTGCCGGCTAGATGCAGACCCACAGATGGAACTAGAACAGCCCTACTTAATTCAGCGTCCTCCACAAACTGCCAGCACTGAAAACAGACCAAAATTGTTTGAGTTCTGAGAAAATTCGCTACCAGTTTTTTTTATAAATATTTCGTTTTTATTATCAGTTTTCACAAAAATTAAATAAGTTGTCTCAGTATCAAGAAAAATGGGACTATTTTTTTTGTTTTTCTGTTAATTTCCCAAAAATTGATGACAGACTGCTGAGCTCCTATTTTCGTTTACAACTGTTTTTTCAGCAAGAATTACCTTCATATTTCGAAAAACTAAATGTGTTGAAAATGCGCGAACGAGAGTAGAAAAAAAAATAACAGATATAAAAAAATAGTATTTAAAATAAAAATTTCAAAATATATATGAAACTGAAGACTTACAATTACCACAAGGAAGCTTAGCTGTAATTCGCAAAAAAAACCAGAAAACGGCAAAAAAAGCTATAAAGTAGCAAAAAAAAGACAACAGGAAAACACTTTCGAATTTCAAAAAAAAATGAATTGCCCAAGAAGCTCTTTGAAATTCTGGAACAATTTACGACTCGCTTCGTTTATGAAACTAACCCAATTAGAAAAAAGTGGATCAATAATTAAAATTTTTATTTCGCTGGGAAATCTAAAAATTAAATTCCACTTCCGAAACTAGAAGTCGATCACATTTTTTGTGAAACTTACACTTTTCCTGTTCGGTATTGGATTTTCCATTGTTTTCCCTTGTTTTAACTTGAAAAGAAATCAAAAGTCCAACAGCGAACAAAAAAATTGAGCCTGAACGAATTTTAAAGACTTTCTGAAAAAAAAAATCCAAAAAAATCTTCACGATCTATATAAGAGTCTGAACTAGGTTCATCGAATCTTAATAACACAATTTCTGTATCGATAAACAAGCCGACATTGATTAAGTCCACGCCCGTAGAGCCGAAAAAATCCTTTGTCAAAATAATCTTTGAGCAGTAAAATCTTTAAGTACAAATTTCGTCGTTTTCAAGCGCAATTTCTATTTGGATTTGAAATGTAGAGTTCCAACGGTCGATTAAGAGCAGATCAGCTGTTCTCGTTATCTAACCTTTCCTAAGTTTTCGTAATTTATTTATGTGTCATTCATATAGTCTTGGATAAATTCTTCCTCTAATTTCTAACAGGAAAGCAAAACGCTGAGACCAAAGTTCACAACACAGAGGCGTAGCCACGCAAACACTAGCGGGAACACGACAAAACGCAATTCTATAGTTTAATGAGAAAAGGTAGAAATAAGCTTCGAATTAGTGAAAATTCGGCTAGGTCTCAGATTCGAACAGCGACCTACAGATTCTTAGTCTCTCTCACTAACCACGCACTCTTAACAACTCACAAACACTAGCCACAAATAAAGCAAAGAAAAGATGCTATGAAATTTCCAATGCTAGATCGTGATTATAGTAAAAAAAATTCCACTAATTAAGTGAACACTTTCCACTTTTAATGAACACTTTTATTAGCGAGTTAGGTTAGAAAAAAAGAAGATTCGTACTAATACACTACGCTGATTGCTAGTGTACTGATTAAGAAATTGAAAACAAATACTTAAGAAAACTCATGCACAGTCCATAACCATTGATTGTGGATAAATATATGACATTGTCTTGACGTACATGATGTAACTTGACCATTAGACTGCATATGCCTGAAAACATCCTGCAATTATTGTATTTTCATTTTTCATGATTACTAAATTTCAACAGAATGCATAGCACTTTTTGCTCACGGGCAATAAAACTGAACGACGCCACAATCTCGCGCGACATGATCTAATTTATTTTGAAAACCCTATTTTTAATGGTTCAATTACATAATCCAGTGTAGAGTGTCAATTATTTATCCAATTATCTTAATTCGATGGTGTTTGCAACATTAACAGTTGATGGCTCCCATGAGTCAACAAATACTGCATGTAATTCAGATGTTCTTCTTGTAAAATGATCCCTGCTCGTTGCTTGATGGTGAGGCAGCATTCAACAGTCCAGAAAAGTAACCAAAATTATGAATGGGGGTATTCTCATGATGAAGGGACCGATTGACGCTTTTATAAATTTTCCAATACTCGGCTTCGTTTTCGCAGCTTTTCAAGTTTCATGTTTCTGCTTATTTTCTAATCGGTCAATATTAACTTTAATGGTCTGGATTTTAGCTTTCTTTAAGACGTAACTCTAAGATAGATTTTTAAAAAATAGGACGTTAAATCTATAAGACGCTAAAAATTATATTTTTTTCTCCGATACTTTTTTCAAGTCTCTTTTGAGACTTTTGATTTGATTGGCTGACAATTAAACATCATTCGATCCCTCCATAATGAGGGACGCCACCATATGAGTGTAGCTCGTAAACCCAGTAAACTACCGAAAAAACATGTAGTTCTCGACCAGATGCTAGTATGCTGGTTATTTCCCACGCAGATAAAAAGAGTGTTTAAAAACTAGTACAGCTCACCGCATCATCTACGTAATCATTGGGGTCGTAGCCTCCGCGGAAGTAGACACAAGATAGTTGGCACGTCACTTTTTGGTCCCTCGTAGTGAAAATTAACCGCTTGTCATTTGTTACCTTGTAGGCCGATTTCGAAATATCCTCGAAGGAAGACACTATTACTGGAATGTTCCTGAAACAACACAAAGTTATTTGGATAGTCAGCGTTTACCACGTTTCCAAAGCATTCAAGCCTAGCAACCCTGAAAAAAAATCAATTCATCTTCGCAGTATTGTGCAACTCAAGGAATTATACATATCATCAATATGGGCTTTTGAGATGTTTTTTCTTTGCTAAATCTTATGATGGCGCCGATAATCTAATTGAACGCTCAGCTTCTTACTTTTTGGAAATTTTGTTGGCAACACCTAACTGGTCCAAGTGAAAAGTCTCCTGATAATTTCTGGCAAGTATGAGCACAGCAAAAGGCAGCTCTGTGTTTTCCATTATTACTTGATGTTCGCTTTTGTCACGCAGATCGTTGTATAATATACCAACAGTCTGACTTTTGGATTCTTCGCCCAGTTTCGATCTACTGATATTGGCATTTGAGTCCAGAACTCCGCAATAAAAAGTGTCGACTAGATTCTGGTGAGCTGCTACAATGCCTTCCACTATCACGTCTGTCCTTTTCCCTTGATCTGCGAGGAAAACTTTATTTTCCAGATTGCGTTCTCTAAATAACATCAAAACGTTCGTTGAAAACTGGTAATGCAGAGGCTCTTTTTCTCCCTGATGAGTACTTGAAAGTAATAAGACGACAGGCTATCAAGAAGACAAGACATTGGAGAATTTGTGTGCAGCGTCGTTTTAAAGTCTTGCCAAAAGCTCGAATTAACTAGCCGAATTAACAGCTTTTACCACCGCTACGACACTGGATTTTTTTCGAATCACAATTACGACCAATGTGACTTATGTGATGCCCCTAAAAGCGTTCAAAATCCGACAAAAACACCCTACACTATAGTTCGCGCTTTATCCCAACACGAACTCAGTTGAAATGTCATTTCATACTTCAGCTCAGGGCCTTCAAATTTTTCAGATGGTTTTTAAAACTGTTTTAAACAGCTTTTACAAAAAATCGAATCTTGTCTAAGAAGTAACGACAACACCGAGCACAAAACAACCATCATTTCTTCAAGTCCGGCCAATTACAAAACCCTGTATTAACAATCTCAGTATCGTTCGAAAATTCAGCACTGGTTTATATGGAAATAGTGTAATAGCGAAAACAAATTTAACACAAAATGAATTCTTTGTATGACACAACGTTTATTTGTATTAGAAAAGACAGATTTGCACAAATACAGCCGACTGAAAAAACAAACAGAAAAACGCTGAAAACATAATAATTTTATGTCAACCCACTAAAAACCATCAAAACAAAAACAGCAAAAAACTGCACCGAAGTTGAGTTTACTTTGTTTTTGGGTGAAAGTTTTGTTATTGCGCTTTCAGACCTTGCATCATCTTACAGTAATTGTGCAAACAATTAAGTACTTAGCTAACGCCCAGGAAAACATTTCGAATCATATACCATTTGAGAACCTTTTTTTTGTTAAAAAAATATAATTTATATAAATAAATCAATGTCCAAAATACTCAACTTAAAAAAAAACAACGAGAGAACTAATGTTATAGATAGCCCTGAAATTAATATAGGTGAGAAATCTGTTCTTCTAATCAACGTTTAAGAATGCAGACAGAAGAAAACTCACACTAAGGCGCTAATGCTCATTGGCATCTCAGACGAGATGAATTGTATGACGAAAATTTTATCCGAAAAAAATCCAGTGCTCGAGGCGTTATGTGGATTCTACGTGGAAAAAACTAATAATCAGGCAATTGATATTTTGATAAATTATAACAGCAGCCTTCATTGAATATTGTGAAATTATCCGCTTAAATAAGTCATAAAAAATTCCTTTCTCACATAGAGGCGAAGCTGCTCTTCGCAATTAATTGCGAGAACACGATCAAAAAGCAGCTCTATCAAGTGAAATAAGAAAAAGTAGAAATCAGCCTCGAATTAGCAAAAACTCGGCTACGTGTCGGATTCGAATCTGCGACCTAGCAAATTTGAGTCTCACGCACTAACCACTCAGCCACGGATGCTAAAATCCCAGAAAAAACTCACCAATAACGCAGCTACATATGCTAATAAATTGCCAATTCGATGCATCAAAAGTAGCACCAAATACAAAAAGACACAATTTGCATGTAATAGTTTGAACTATCACAAACTGAAGGCATCTACACTAAATTTACATGTAATAAATTGGATGACAGAAAACCAAATTACAAATTATGCATTTCAAAAAATTTCGAGATACATTGAGTTGGAAAATTTCTGAAATCGAGCTTTTTATCATTGTACTGTATTAACTTTTTACTGATCAAATGTCAAAGCACATATGATATTATGCTGCTACCGCAGCCTACCGATTCAAAAAGCCACCAAAAGAGCACGTTTAATGACGGAAAGTTAAAAATAAAAAAGTGAGGTTTCATTCAACAAATTGTAGTGAAAATCCCAAATTCTTGCTGATAATATTCTTACAACCGAGCAATCTGTGACTCCATCAGGAGCATTTTATCAGAAGACTCTACCCATTAATTATTATGAGCTAATAGAAGCGCTCAGTTAATAGAGGCGATTTAAAGGAGTCGGATCAGTTGAGCTTCGCACCACTTGAGACGCTGAAAAAAAATGACGGAACACACTACATGATCTATCAAAATGAATAAGGCTAGTTTTGAAACAAAAACATGCCCAGACAAAAAAATGTTAAATGAGCATCGAAAAAATCTACCAAGCGGTAACAACGCCGAAAATACCTTACAAGAAACCCTTTAGAAAGTATCAACTCCCCTTCACCCTCTTCTCATGCACACGCAAAAAAAACTTAAAACGCCCGACAAATGAAACAATATGAAGCCACTAAGCCAATATAAAATAGGCCGAAAGCTATTAAACCGAAAAAAGAGGAAAACAAAAAAGGCGAAAAAAAATCAAAAAAGTTTGCGACTCATAAAAAGTTACTAAGTGCTCCTAGCCCTCAAAAGACACACCCATGCACAAAAAACTCACTCCTCAAACGACGCAAAACGAGGCGATATATATAACGCAAAACGAGAACGATAAATATAGGCCGACACTTATTAGGCTGAAATAAAAAACAAAAAAAAGCCGAAAAAATTTCAGACTACTTAAAAGTTATTGAGTCACTCTCAACCTCAAAACACACACACACACACACACACACACAAAAAAAAATCGCTCGTCTAACGGCGCAATATGAGGATATTAAATCGATATAACATAGGCCGAAACCTATCAAGCCGGAAAAAAAGGAAAAAACAAAAAATGAAATCTGTATTAAATTCTGTAATAAATTGTTTGCTTCCAAGAAATGAGTCCAGACAAAAAGAGTCCTGTGAACAAAACTATTTACAATTTTAACTAAATACGGCTATACCTAAATTTACGGCTTTACATAAATATTCAAAAACATTTATCGCGCGGCAGCTAGGCAGACAGAAGATGTAACTCCCGTTGCGCCGAAAAAAAAAACGTCCTAGAAAACTTGCAAAAATCAGAACCTCAATTTTTTCAAATCTATACCCCCACCAACTCTGAAAACACATTTAAAAACCTTAAATTTTTTATTTGAAACCATAAAAAAGTAGGCCAATAAGTCGACAAAACAGACAAAAAAATTGAGATCAAATTAAATTTCAAGCAAAAACAGGAAATCAGAAACTATTAAAACAATCAGATTTAGTATATTTAAAAAATAGGAAAAAATCAAAACACTTTCAATTACAATGGACAACGATAAGAACAGAATAAAACGTGACGGACAATTTAAGATGAAAAAACACAATATAAACTTTGTCCCAGCAATTGTTTAGGAATGAACAACTATTTCCCGTTTAAAAAAAAACAGGTCCTGGACACAGTCGAACCTGGAAGCTTTGCTGGCCCATGCGGTAGCGTTAGCTCTAGACCAAGTGTGTCAAATAGCTAAGAAAATTGAATTAATTACGAACCAAGCAATCTGAAGAAGCTAACTGATTCAACTGAATTTGTTTAAAACGAAGAAGTCTGAATTCTGATTTGATTACGCTTGCATTGGAATCCGTCCTATTAGATCATTCGCATTACATATGAAGTTTATACACAACAGTGAGAAACGAACTTAAGAATACAATATCTCCCAGAAAAGTCAAAACATCCAATTTTTTAGTCAGAAAATCAGCAAAGACAACCTTTTTAATCCCGTGCCTTTGTTAAACATCTTCAACTATTACATTGCCTGAACTAAATTTATGCATCAATATCCCAAAAAAGACATTGCTTCGTGCCTAGTAATGTTCGACTTTTCTAAAGCTTTTGACAAAATCAGCCACACAGTTCTTCTGCAAAAAATCAGAAACGTTGGGATAGAAGGAAAACTTCTCAAGATTCTAAGGAGCTACCTTACAAACAGATCTGAGAGAGTTCGCGTCAATGGTATTTTGTCGGCTGTTCGCTTAGTGCTGAGTGGTGTTCCCCAAGGCTCACTGTTAAGTCCGATTCTGTTTTTGATTTTCATCAATGACCTCCCTGATAAAATATTTAATTCTGTTGCTTTTATCTTTGCTGACGACTTGAAAACGTTTTTCGACAAATCCCCCGATTTGTTCCATCTGCTTACCGCGGATCTTGATAGACTGAGTACTTGGTCTACCGAAAATCGTTTGCCTTTTCATATTTCAAAATGTGTAATAGATTTTAAGAATTGTTACCCCTGCGACATTACCTTCTGCAATACAACTCTCGACTTAGTCTCATCAGTGAACGATCTCGGACTACAAATCAACATCACTTTGTCGTGGACCGAGCACATAAAGAAAAAGCTAACTAAAGCAAATGCAACATTCTTCCTGATACGCCGCAGTGTCAGTCATCTTCTCTCTCCGCAGGTGAAGCTCCACTTGTACAAAACACTTCTCATGCCTATCATTTTATATGCTTCTCAATGCTGGTCTCCAAACAAATCGGACTTGAAGCAACTAGAAACCTTCCAGAAACGAGTTGTCAGATGAATGCTCCCTGACACACCGTACCGTGAAGCAATCAGTTCCCTTGGCATCTTACCCATTGCCTACTTTGCCGTTTTAACTGACTTTCTCACTCTTTCAAAAATTGTCAGTGGACTATATGACTGTGATCTCACCAGTTGTTATTCCTGCGCACCCAGTGGCTCACGACGCACAGCAACTCGTTTACTGTTTGATATCCCGATCATTAAGCTCGAGCGCCAGCGCAACAATTTTTGGTATAGAACGCCATGGAGAGCCAACATAATAGCAAACGTTATCGACATCAGAACCTTCTCGCCTGACTTGAAGTATCATCTACTCAAACTCATGTGGTCGTTTTTCCACAGTCACTAAGATGAACTCAGTCCATGTACCTGGCCATTCTTGTGTTATTGCTCAAATTGCAGAGATCGACAAATTGACCTCTCGGGACTCAATTGACTTGATTTATCTACGGGACTAACAGTTCCCTCATTTACGTTGTAAATCCAATATAATAATAATAATAACATCTAGCCGTCAGGTAAAATTTGAAAAAAAAGTGATAAATTTCCTCGGTCTCAATGAACTTAATGAAAACTTTCAAGTCATTTTGAACCTATGGATTCTGAGAGCCATTACCGTAATCCGATTGATAAAATATTGCTCAAACCTAGTTATGACACTAAGTTGCTTGAAACTAAGTACAATCACCTTCAGATTAAAAAGAAGAAATCATAATTCATGCTGCCGCAGAATAATGATGGTTTTATTAATATTAAAGTTTGAGCGCGTATCAAACAAATAACGCTGCTTGAAATTGAATAGAAAAGTATTGAAAACTTAAGAAAGTCGCGGAAATAAAACGCCCGAAGAATAAGCAGACAGAAACAGATACGATTTCCATAAAACCGACAACAAAAATCAATTGTTCTGAAATAAAGTATCTATTTTCCCATTTCCACTACACTTCACACTCAATAAAGGTAAAGATCCACTACAACTGCAGATGTCAAAAATAGAGATTCTGTGAACATATTATTTACAGGAAAAGTCTGGTACCCGTTTGCCATACTCTTGCTTATCTCAATGGTAATCAATTCTACTAACAAATAAAGCTTGTCAATTCCGTCAGAGAAAAATCCTCCCGCAACAGCTAATGGTATTGATTTCGATTAGCTTCCAGCTTAGTGATTGGGCGTCGAAGAAGAAATCACTTCTGATAATTGACAAATAGGGCTTTTTGCTGTATATATCACTCGAGATAGCCTTCTTGTAAATGGTTAGCAACCGATGTATGAAGTCATCCGTTTTTGCTACACTTTCCAAAAGATCTACAATCACGGAACTTTCTTTTATTAATCCTAGCATGATCCAGTCTATCAAATCGGATTGCAAGCTCCGCAATTCTTTTAATTTCTAAACAAAAACAAAGAGTATTGAATATGTGGTGCTACTATGATAGAGTGGTCCCTTGAAAATAATCAGGTCCCTTGAGAATAAGACACCTAGAGCTCTCAAATCGTTTAATAATTATGATTGAGCCCTTCAGAAAGATGTCGCAGTGTATTTTCATAAATTTAATGTTTTGTTATCTTATAAAACCTCCCCCTAACCATTTTAAAGTTGAAAATCTAGTCAACCCAATCATATGGTTGTTAAACCGTAAAATAAAGTAAAGCGAGCAAATTTTAATATATAAACAATAGTGATTAAAATTAAATCTGAAAAGTTTTTGGCTGAACATATTTTGCAAGATTTTTGAAATGAATAATTTATAAACCAACTAGTTTTCAAAATTATAACATGCTATATGCATGTGGGACCTGTCTATCATAGTTGCTTTTTCGAGGGACCACTCTATCATAGTAGTACCGAATATGTCACATAATGATCACTTTAGACAATACTTACGTCTCTTTTAAAGGAGACAGGGGTTAAACCAATTGGCAGATTTTTGTATGAACCATCTTTTTGCAACATCATCATGTTTAAACTCTTCATACTCTGTTCCAATTCCTGTCCTATAGAAAAAAAAACTTCAATAATATTGAAATGAAACATCTCAAAAAGTTAAATCAAACTAACCATTACATAAAACCATAGGAGACCTTATATCACCCAATGCTTCTGGATTCATAATTAAAACAACTAACTGAAACGAATTATTTGTATTTGCAAAAACAGAGAAATGAGGCGAACAAAGGTAAACAAAATAACAATGCAGTCTTGAACAAATGCTTTCATTGCACTGGCCACAAAACAGAAAAGCTAAAAGAAAGAAACGAACTGTTTAACTATCAGAGAAATCAATGACTGGAACGAACCAGGGGTTGGTAAAAGTCAATTGGTAGACAAAAAGTCAATTACTTGAAAAGATTGTCAATTAATCAAATTGTTTGCTCAAGCTTTGTCAATTATAAATTAATTGCAATTAATTGGGTCTCATTCATAGCTTTAGCAACGTCAGTTTTCGACCAAAATTGATTGTTAACATTCAGGTTAGCATTTCAAGGTTCATCGGCAAAATATTCTGTCGTAAGTCACCAAAAGCAAATCCCGCTTCGCTGAAAAATCTTTCTGTCATGTTGGAAGTTGGCCTCAAATATCGTACATCTTGATAAACACTGTCCGCTGATTTCTCAATTAGCTTCCAACTTCGCAAGCTGTTGCTACGAAATCAATAATAGCTTTACATTTCAAACACAAAATCATATAAATTTCAAAGTTTGCAAACCTTCAATTAATTGCAATTAATTGGCTGATTTTGTCAATAGTCAAAAATTGGAAAAACAAAAAGCCAATTAATTGCATCCAATTAATTGCAATTAATTGGTCACCAATTGACTTTTACCAAGCCCTGGAGCGAACTGCAAAGCTCTAGAACAACCAAAAGGTCAAACAAAACCTTATGATAACAAAGACCGCCGGTTGCTGTGCAAGTAACACAATGCTCCGACCACATTCATAAAACTACAAAATATATATATGAATTTTTCATAAAATCAGTGTAGTTTTAGCGCGTGTTGTGATGAGGATATCATACAAACGAAAATGAGGATATCATACAAAAGTTTATTTTTTTTTCACAAAAACTTAACTTTGGTAGAGATCGTTTACTGCCAAGGGGAAGCGCTAATGGACGAAAACAATTTCCCTGTTAGTGAGCTCGAGCATTCGTAATTTTTCTTTGACCTTTCAACTTCATTTTTTAAACTTACACATTTCAAAATAGAGGCCAGCTGGACCTGGAAATAACTGTTTGATAATTTTTGAATTTTAGTATTCATGATGTGAATAATCTTTCACGTGAATTATTCTAATATTTCCATTAAAAAAACTTGAACAAGTGAGATCTAAGAAGTATTCTTATTTTATTCAAAAGGTTAAATTGTATTCGCAGCTAAGTTTCTCCGCCAAGAAAAAAACTTTCAAAAGTACTTAGTACTTAATACTTGAAGTACGTGATACTTCATAGTTTCTCAAAATCTTATAAAAGCTCTAGACGAAATGCGCACGCTTGTAGTGCCAACAGGACCGTGCCTGTCTTGTTTACAAAAAAAAAACAATTGATATGTAATCCTACTTCCATCCATTTCATAACTTCTGTTCTAACATTTATGTACCATTCCCATAATCTTTTCACTATTTTAACGATGGTTCCAAAAATCTCACCAGCGCGCATAAACGAATGGACGTTTTGCCAGACTACTTATGAGATCCTTGAACGATAACTTAGCAGCAAAATTGCACAATTTACAGAATTAGAGGATGTTAAAATAACGGCTATCAAGCTTTTGAAACTCCAATAAATTGAAGAATTGGCAGAAGATGAAGCGTCGTGCCCTCTAGCAGACGTGCAAAACCTCTGTAACATTCGCCCGGAAGATACATATCGACGGAAAATAAAACTAAGTCCTAAGACGACTGGCTAACGTCTAAACAGAGCTTTACATGCTTTTCACCGTCTCTACCAAGCCAGTACTTTCGGTGGTCTTTTCTAACATCGGGTCGACAAAAAACGTTACTGCTTTCGGCTTCGGTCAAAACACTCAAATTAACTTAATTACATGCAGAAATAGTGAGCTCATGGCTGGGTCTCAGTATCCCCAGACCACGAGGTCACTCCTAAAAACAGGGCTACTACTATTCATTGTGTTATTGCTCAAATTGCAGAGATCGACAAATTGACCTCTCGGGACTCAACTGACTTGATTTATCTACGGGACTAACAGTTCCCTCATTTACGTTGTAAATCCAATATAATAATAATAATAACATCTAGCCGTCAGGTAAAATTTGAAAAAAAAGTGATAAATTTCCTCGGTCTCAATGAACTTAATGAAAACTTTCAAGTCATTTTGAACCTATGGATTCTGAGAGCCATTACCGTAATCCGATTGATAAAATATTGCTCAAACCTAGTTATGACACTAAGTTGCTTGAAACTAAGTACAATCACCTTCAGATTAAAAAGAAGAAATCATAATTCATGCTGCCGCAGAATAATGATGGTTTTATTAATATTAAAGTTTGAGCGCGTATCAAACAAATAACGCTGCTTGAAACTGAATAGAAAAGTATTGAAAACTTAAGAAAGTCGCGGAAATAAAACGCCCGAAGAATAAGCAGACAGAAACAGATACGATTTCCATAAAACCGACAACAAAAATCAATTGTTCTGAAATAAAGTATCTATTTTCCCATTTCCACTACAGTTCACACTCAATAAAGGTAAAGATCCACTACAACTGCAGATGTCAAAATTAGAGATTCTGTGAACATATTATTTACAGGAAAAGTCTGGTACCCGTTTGCCATACTCTTGCTTATCTCAATGGTAATCAATTCTACTAACAAATAAAGCTTGTCAATTCCGTCAGAGAAAAATCCTCCTGCAACAGCTATGGTATTGATTTCGATTAGCTTCCAGCTTAGTGATTGGGCGTCGAAGAAGAAATCACTTCTGATAATTGACAAATAGGGCTTTTTGCTGTATATATCACTCGAGATAGCCTTCTTGTAAATGGTTAGCAACCGATGTATGAAGTCATCCGTTTTTGCTACACTTTCCAAAAGATCTACAATCACGGAACTTTCTTTTATTAATCCTAGCATGATCCAGTCTATCAAATCGGATTGCAAGCTCCGCAATTCTTTTAATTTCTAAACAAAAACAAAGAGTATTGAATATGTGGTGCTACTATGATAGAATGGTCCCTTGAAAATAATCAGGTCCCTTGAGAATAAGACACCTAGAGCTCTCAAATCGTTTAATAATTATGATTGAGCCCTTCAGAAAGATGTCGCAGTGTATTTTCATAAATTTAATGTTTTGTTATCTTATAAAACCTCCCCCTAACCATTTTAAAGTTGAAAATCTAAAAAAAACGCCAATAGTGGGTTTTGATGGCAAATAAGTCAACCCAATCATATGGTTGTTAAACCGTAAAATAAAGTAAAGCGAGCAAATTTTAAAAAATAAACAATAGTGATTAAAATTAAATCTGAAAAGTTTTTGGCTGAACATATTTTGCAAGATTTTTGAAATGAATAATTTATAAACCAACTAGTTTTCAAAATTATAACATGCTATATGCATGTGGGACCTGTCTATCATAGTTGCTTTTTCGAGGGATCACTCTATCATAGTAGTACCGAATATGTCACATAATGATCACTTTAGACAATACTTACGTCTCTTTTAAAGGAGACAGGGGTTAAACCAATTGGCAGATTTTTGTATGAACCATCTTTTTGCAACATCATCATGTTTAAACTCTTCATACTCTGTTCCAATTCCTGTCCTATAGAAAAAAAGAAACTTCAATAATATTGAAATGAAACATCTCAAAAAGTTAAATCAAACTAACCATTACATAAAACCATAGGAGACCTTATATCACCCAATGCTTCTGGATTCATAATTAAAACAACTAACTGAAACGAATTATTTGTATTTGCAAAAACAGAGAAATGAGACGAACAAAGGTAAACAAAATAACAATGCAGTCTTGAACAAATGCTTTCATTGCACTGGCCACAAAACAGAAAAGCTAAAAGAAAGAAACGAACTGTTTAACTATCAGAGAAATCAATGACTGGAACGAACCAGGGGTTGGTAAAAGTCAATTGGTAGACAAAAAGTCAATTACTTGAAAAGATTGTCAATTAATCAAATTGTTTGCTCAAGCTTTGTCAATTATAAATTAATTGCAATTAATTGGGTCTCATTCATAGCTTTAGCAACGTCAGTTTTCGACCAAAATTGATTGTTAACATTCAGGTTAGCATTTCAAGGTTCATCGGCAAAATATTCTGTCGTAAGTCACCAAAAGCAAATCCCGCTTCGCTGAAAAATCTTTCTGTCATGTTGGAAGTTGGCCTCAAATATCGTACATCTTGATAAACACTGTCCGCTGATTTCTCAATTAGCTTCCAACTTCGCAAGCTGTTGCTACGAAATCAATAATAGCTTTACATTTCAAACACAAAATCATATAAATTTCAAAGTTTGCAAACCTTCAATTAATTGCAATTAATTGGCTGATTTTGTCAATAGTCAAAAAATGGAAAAACAAAGAGTCAATTAATTGCATCCAATTAATTGCAATTAATTGGTCACCAATTGACTTTTACCAAGCCCTGGAGCGAACTGCAAAGCTCTAGAACAACCAAAAGGTCAAACAAAACCTTATGATAACAAAGACCGCCGGTTGCTGTGCAAGTAACACAATGCTCCGACCACATTCATAAATGTGACATTCGACCAGAATGGCCAAAATGCAGTCTCTGCAGAATTCAGGATTTTAGCAGTGAACCTTCCGGATTGGCGATTTAGAACGGATAAGGACGTTATTTGAATGATTGGCCAAACGGTGAAGGCTAGAAGATTCTGGAATTCTAAATTTTAAATTTTCGAAGTGATGACGTAACATTTCTGAGAAATGTAAAAACGGCCATTTTGGCTAAAATAGCAGAAAGAAACAGAACAACTTTATCTGCGATTACGAACAGTACGAAAATCGAGACTAAAAAACAACAACGAACTACCGAACAGCAGAGGACGTTCCGAGTTGCAACTATTGTGCTGTTACAATAGTTGCAAGGCCGTTGCGAACAACGGTGAAGGGTAAAAACCAGCCCTCCGAGTTAGCGTGAACCTGAGGTTAAGGAGCTTGATTCGCCGGATTCAAGAATCCGGAAGGGTCTCGGGACGGGAACTTTTATGAACTTGTATTGAATTTTAGCATCCTGTCATGTCCTGACTTGAATTTAACTGATATTTTGATTAGTTTTGACAAGGATGAGGTGCTAGGAGTTGGGGGAAAGGGTTGATCCATCTTCGATGGAGATGATGATTTTTATCTACTGAACAAAAACAATAGTAATATAATAAGTAGTAGCCCTGTTTTTAGGAGTGACCTCGTGGTCTGGGGATACTGAGACCCAGCCATGAGCTCACTAATTTTGCATGTAATTCAGTTAATTTGAGCGTTCTGGTCGAAGCCGGAGAACAGTAACGTTTTTGTCAGCCTGATGTAAGAAAGACCACCGAAAAGTACTGGCTTGGTAGAGACGGTGAAAAACATGCAAAGCTCTGTTTAGACGCTAGCCAGTCGTCTTAAGACTTAGTTTTGTTATCCGTCGATATGTATCTTCCGGGCGAATGTTACATGTATGTTTTTATGGCGCTCCTGGGTGTTATTCTTTCGTAACATCATGACCGGCGGAACCGTTAACGAGCACTCCGCGCCGAGCGGATGCTCACATTAACGCCCTTAATAGGCCTAAACTGCCGGGGCGGAAGGGTAGTTCGGAACGCGGAAGTCTTCCGGATTGCCGTGAATAGTTTTTTAACCTAGTTAAGACCGAAAATTCATGAACCAGGAAGGGTGGGGGGAATCGCGAACCCCTCATCCCCTGAGTGGTTTGTGACCAAAAACACTTAAAGATATAAGCAAAACCAAACAAAAAGTAGTATAGTACCCAAGAAAAACAAAAAACATAAAAAATAACCGAAAAAACCAAAAACAGTAAAAAAGTAAAAAATCAGTAGAAATCATCCCCCCAGACAAGATGTGATTCAACCCCCCCGTTTGTTGTTGATAGATATATTGTTGTTACAGGCATTTATATCAGTCAGGATCGTTACGATCAATTTTGTGGCCCGTTTGTGAGGCTTGTACTGTAGGGTTATTTGAGCATTTAAGCACGTTAATGATAAATTGCGCTCAATCCGGAAGGGTCAGCTGATTTGCGCTCAATTCGGAAGGGTCTTGGGCGAAGACCGATCCGGCAAGCAGTTCAAGGAGCAACAAGAAGGGGCTCAACGACAACAACAATCGACTGTTGGGTATCGTTAACAAGTTTTGTATCCCTTTTGGTACAAAAAGTAAGATAGTAATCTGTGGGGGGCTCGACAGTGCTGCACTGTAGTGACCCTTCACCGAACTGCGAATATCCGAGTTAAGCACCTTAATTCGGATAATAAACAAACCCGGAGGGGTATAGTATTACTAATATTATTATTCATATAGCCTATATTAATAGTCATATATCGTTTTTCAGTGAAAAACAACGAAAACAGACCGGTTTTTAGGGTCAAAATAGCGATATTTTGATCCCCCCACAAGTCGCGATTTTTGAGATATCGATATTTTTTGAAACGAAAAAAAGCGCTAAGTTAGTGTGTTACATCGTAACTGCACTACTGTAATAAGTAGAACCGGTTAACTTTAGTTCGGAAGTGGTTGGAACTAGTTTGGTACAAAAACCCAAATTTTCCCATTTTTTGATAGTAAGAAACACTATAAAATCAGAAAATTTTTTGAAATCTTTGAGTTAGGACAGTAAGAATAGTTGTTCGGACAACGTCCACTAGTGAATCTACGAGTTTTAAAACCCGCTACCCGAAAGCCTTCCGGGTTGCAGAGAAATCGAACATAACGTGTTTGATTTGGTGGATTCGTCAATCCGGAGGGGTCCAGGTAGCATAGTTTTTCGCGAATTTTCTCTACAATAGCGTTTTAGATCGGGTCTTTTGCATTGAACTAGAAGATTATAGGCCTTCTGAGCTCAGATCAATAGTTTTTAGGTCGAAAGGACCAGATTTGCGGAAAAAGTTAGGCGGAACCTATAAGAGAGAAAATTTTTGAGTTTGGAAGAAAGACGTTTTAGTTGATAACTTTGGAACTACTGAGCATATTGAGTTGATCTTGGTACCAATAGATCAGAAATTAGCTGAACTTACTAGTAGGAAAGAGTATTACTCGAAAAAGCGAGCTAGAAAATTTTTTGGGATTGTTTTTAACAAATTACACAAATCCGGAGGGGTACACCCTTCACGTTTTATAAAGTTTTCTGAAAAATCCTTATACCCCTACCAAAAGTTGATAGCGATTGAACTAAGTAACTTAGGACAGTTCTAGACAAAAAGGGAGGGCTGAAGGCACAAGACAACCATAATAGAGTCGAAATTAGGCAAGTGATAAGACCCTTCACCGTTAGTGTGAATTGTCAAATAAGCGCCTTAACTTCAATCCGGAGGGGTCTAGGAAAGGATCCTATACCCTTCCCAGTTAATTCAAACAGCATAATAGCAACGCAGAACGTATCCGGAGGGGTATAAGCTGAAATTAAGAAAACTGCGAAAAGCTACTTTGACAGAGCTAAGGGCTCCGAATCCGGAGGGGTCTACTTTCCAAATCCGGAGGGGTCTACTATTAACTAACTCGGAGGGGTCCCAATCCGGAGGGGTCCATATTCTGACAGTCCGGAAGGGTCCTATTTGTGCCAATCCGGAGGGGTATTATTTTATTAAGGACTTAGGTAAACGAAAGAAAGACTAAAAAGCGAGAGGTATTAGGTTATTAATACACAGGCTAGGTATCAGTGACTGCACTGGTAACTTGCCTTTCAGAAAGAACCAGACTAATACAAAACAGGTCCGAACTCGGATATTCGCGACACTAAGTCTAAATTAAAAAGAGCGTGACTCATTGGTGTGGATTGAAACATAATACGTTTTTGGGAAAAGTGACTGCCCTGAGGATTTTAGTAGGTCTAGCTCGGGCAGTCCGAAGGCAGATAGGTAACACAGTACTCGGTGGGTGCAATAGACGCCCACTTGAGAAAATTACTGCCTTCAAAGTTTTGTCTGTTTGGTGCAGCACCAAGCAGGGAAAGCTTTTTCTTTAAAAGACAGGTTCGACTATTGTACTGCGACCGACTAAGAGTACAAGACACATACGTTTTTTTTATATATACATTCATATTGTGTCAATATATAATTTTTGTTTTTGATTTTAAATCAACCTAAACTGTGCTTGATTGGGTAGTGACTACACTATCTTTTAAATTGACTGATAACATCATATTGTGCTAGTTTCCAGATCTTTGGACCGATAATCGGCTAGTGTGAATAAATTTTATACAAACTGTACTCTGACAACATACAGGGATTCGTGGTCACTATTTAATAGAATCTGGTGAAATTTATTGTGTTGTGTCATTATTATTGTTAATAAAACTATAAGGTCTCTAGCGATTGAGTCAAGAGTAGGCATAGGAAAGTGACAAATAAAGAATGAGTTTAGACAAGTCAAGGATACCAAAACGAGGTAGTAGCACTAGGAAATTCATACCTGAAAAGCAAAGAAAAACGATGACCGATCCTTTTGTGGATTGGATCAAGCGAACCCGGTCCGATAAAGAGGGGACGGTTTCAGGCAGAATGGTTGAAACGAGAAGTCAGAAGACCTCAGAAGAGCGAAGAGAACTATTAGAAGTGGAGGTCAATACGGACCATACCATGAACGACAACCAGGGAGTAAATGGATTGGAAGGAAGAGGCAGAAGGCTGGCGAGTGAATCAACCCCGGTAGAACAAGGCCATGATTTTGCCACTTCCACCGGGACATTGGATCGAGAGGAGATGTCGGAACTAGAAGTAACGGCGACTAGAAGATCTCCGACAGAC